GAAAAAGAATGCTCACAATATTACAAGTGTAGTGATAATAGATGGAATTTACAACAATGTCCCGGTGGATTGCATTGGAGCAAGGATCGTCAAATTTGTACTACTCCAGAGGATGCTAAATGTATCAAAATATGTGACGAGGGTAAGCACAAACCAGACGATGACAAGTGCGAGGTATATTACGAATGCAAAGATAACCGATGGGAACTTAAGTACTGTCCCGGTGGACTCCATTGGGATCGAGTAAGAGACACGTGTTCAACACCTGAAAGTGCTAATTGTCCATGGGACTGTAAGGAAGGCTCTTTCTTACCTCATGAATGTGAATGTAACATTTACTATAAGTGCATAAATTACCGATACGTTAGAAAGGTATGTCAAAATGGATTACATTGGGATAGGACGCATAATAACTGCACCTCACCCGATCAAGCAAACTGTCCAAATTATCATCCGAAAATTTGCGAGGAAGGTTCTTACAAACCTGACGATAAAATATGCGAGATATATTACAAATGTGAAAATAATCAATTCGTTCAGAAAACTTGTCCAGCTGGATTACATTGGAATAGAGTAAGTAACATTTGCTCCGATCGAGATTCAGCAAAATGTCCAAATTATCATCCGAAAATTTGCGACGAAGGTTCTTACAAACCTGACGATAAAATATGCGAGATATATTACAAATGTGAAAATAATCAATTCGTTCAGAAAACTTGTCCAGCTGGATTTCATTGGAATAGAGTAAGTAACATTTGCACCGATCCAGCATCAGCAAATTGTCCTAACGCACCTCGCAATTGTGTCGAAGGTTCTTTCAAACCTCATGATTGTCAATGCGACATATACTACGAGTGCCAAAATAATCAATACGTTCAGAGAAAATGTGTAGATGGATTACATTGGGATAGGACACATTATAATTGCACACTTCCAGACCTAGCACATTGTCCAAATTATCATCCGAAAATTTGCGACGAAGGTTCTACAAAACCTCATAATTGTAAATGCAACTTATATTACAAGTGCATAAATAATCAATTGGTATTAAAGGAATGTGAAAATGGATTACACTGGGATAGATATAATAAATTGTGTGCATTACCTGATAGAGCAAAATGTCCCAACTATCATCCAAAAATTTGCGACGAAGGTGCTCACAAGGCTGACGAAACGGAATGCGATATATATTACGAATGTCAAAATAATACATATGTCAAACTAAGATGTTCAAGCGGATTACATTGGGATCGTACACATAATTATTGCACAACACCCGACAAAGCAAATTGTCCAAACTATCATCCAAAAATTTGTGAAGAAGGTACTTACAAACCGGACGATAAGATATGCGAAATATATTACAAATGCGAAAATAATCAATTCGTTACGAAGGCTTGTACAGGTGGATTACATTGGAACAGAATACAGAATATTTGTACCGATCCAGATTCAGCAAAATGTCCAAATTATCATCCAAAAATTTGTGAAGAAGGTACTTACAAACCGGACGATAATATATGTGAAGTATATTACAGATGCGAAAATAATCAATTCGTAAAGAAGACTTGTACAGGTGGATTACA